CCATGAACACCTGCACAACTCACCACATTCCTTGTTTTCAGCCCTTCAGCCCCTGGGCAAACACCCTCAGCTGAATTAGCTTGCAGTAACCCCCCAGATACTCCCTGCAGGCTGGCTCTGCATATTTTCCTAATGGAGAGGAGCCTGATTATCCCAAGGGATAAAACCTGCAGCCCCACATCCTACAGAGGAGCCAGAGTGGCCTGTGGGGTCTCCAAAAATCCATGAGACACAGAGCACAGTCGCCTGTCCTTCCACAGCTGTGGCATGGAGGGACCAACCTGAAGGGCCTGAGGGACATTTGCTTTTCACAGCGACACCAGGAGATAAATCAGCTTCCCCTCTGCTTGAATCTGCCTGAAAGCAGAAGTGATTTGTCTCTTGTGAAGGGAGTGAGGATGCAGGAGGAGCCAGCTTTACCCTCCCCTCTGGCAGAAGGTTGAGAAAGGCAGCCCAGTGTGGGCACCTTCCCTGCATCCCAAGGGTAGTGCTGGGAAACTCAAGGCACGTGCCAAAAGCCTCACCAAAAATTCACAAGTGAATCATAACAGGCCAGCAGGAAAGTTCTTCTGCTTGGCACTGACATCCCAGCCTCACAACCTCCTTTCAGAAAGCCAAAAATGCTCCAGGTCTTGAAGGTCTTGAAGACTTTCCTTCAGCCAAATGGAAGCTCTTTCATGCCCCAGCAGGCTGTGAACTGCTGTCAGTGGTGATGGTCCCTGTTGGGGAAGGTTACAGCCCAGAAGGGACTTTTTAAATCTATTTTTAAAGCTGCCCTGCTTGCTCCCTCATGTCAGAACCCAGGACATCCCTCTGGCTGTCCTGAGCAGCCAAGACCCCTGCCAGGGGGCTCAGAGACCCTGGCACAGAGCCCACAATGCTGTGGGTTTGATTATGACCCGTGGAGCAAGTTACCAACCTTAGATGAAGATCTACAAGCCATGACAAATCAAGCAGAATGACAGTGAAGTTATCACAAGGTGAAAGAGTAGATTTGGGGGTTTTTAGAATAGAAGTTCAAGAAGCAACATAAAGAGATCTGGGTGTGTGCAGCCTTTCTCTGTCTTCTTCTTAACCTCCATCTTCTGCTGTGATGGTGGCACTTGCAGATTGGTTTCAAGTAGAAGCTCACTGTCTAACATAGGTATTGGAAAGTAATTGTAAACATTGTATACATAATCTTTAGTATAAAGGCATAACACCACCCCAGAAGAAAGCAGACTGCCCTAGACTGTCCTGCTGAGTGGACCTCAGCTAGACAAGAAAAAATATTTTATAGATAAAGAACAATAAACAACCTTGAGACCAAGAAATTAAGAGCTCTGACTCCTTCTTCAAGCACCGGGCTGGGAAAAGAGACTTTCCAACATTTATCGAAGTTAATCTGACCAGCTAGAGATCCTGAGCCCCTCATGCGTCTCCTCCCTGTCCAGCCTGATCCCAGACCCTCCCAGTGCACGGGGCTCCCAGACTGGGTTAGATGATGCATTGTCATCAGCAGGTCTCAGTACCAGCATCCACCTAGGAATAAACTCCAGGGTCCTGTGAGCGTGTGAGGAGAAGCACTGAGAGAGCCAAAACCTCCTTGGAAACAGAAAACAGCAGATCTACAGTCCAGTTTTCCTGGGAATTGGCTCTGTGGGCAGCTCTGGTTTCTGGTCTCATGGAGGAGCCTCCTCTCCTCTCTCTCTCTCTAATGATTCCGCCTCAGCTCTCCAAATTTAATTACCAGGTAATTATACATCACATTCAGTGGTTTGGTCCTGGCAAGGGCTGAGTGTCACCAGTGTTGAGCCCAAGAAAAGTGTTTGCTCTGTGCACTGGGAGCCTGAAACCCCTCTGGTACCTCCAGCTCTGCATCTCTCGCAGGAAAACCCAGAAACCAGGGACCAGCCCCATGACAGAGCGGGGACATCATTGCCACAATGGCAATTGCCATTGCCACAGGGCATCCTATGGTCCCCAAACCTCAGGATGCTATTCCCAAACCTGTCTGAAGGAAGAATAGGGAAGGGAGCACCTCAAGAAAGGCACTTTCTTTTCAACACATCCCTCACTAAGAGGTATTTGCTGATAAGCTGATAATCAGGTGGCCTGGCCACCCCCAGGACATTAGACCTTGGTGCTTAGAGAATATTTGATCATACAATATCTCCATTAGGAGTTTGTAATCCGCTATCACAGCATTTGAGAGCCATCTGACTATAAGGAGATTTTTATTAATGGTTCATGAGCCTAAAAGTCAAAACTGACTCTCAGAGCAGATTTTAACAGTTTGTGTGGGATTTATATATTTATCTATCTCTTCACCACCTCTTCTCCCCCTGCCCCCACCATCAGTCCCTCTGCTCTGCCCCAGCAGCAGGGAGAGACCAGGCAGCTGGAAATGGCATTTCTCCTTCCCTTCTGTCTTTGTCTTGTCTCTTTCCCCTTCCCTTCCCTTCCCTTCCCTTCCCTTCCCTTCCCTTCCCTTCCCTTCCCTT